ATGGAGTGGAAGCACAGCACCCTGTGCCCCAGACCTGCTCCCCATGCAGTGCTCTGGGATGGGTCAGCAGGCTGCTGGGAGCACGTTCCCAGATGGTTTCTGTTCAGCCTCTCTGGCAGGATAGTGGCCCCAGGCACAGGCTGGGCAAGGCCTGGATCCCAGGGCTATGGCAGGTGCAGGGAGATCCAAAGCAGGTTCTGCCTGTGCTCCCTGGCAGCGTGGGGTGGGTGGGATCTGGCCCTACCCTACTCTGCATCACTTGCAGACTCAGCCCAGGCACATCCCCTCCTCCCACCCTGGAGCTCCAACTTTTCCAGCACGTTTCTCCCCACCCACAGCCAGCCAAGCCACTGGGGTAACAACCCTTTGATGTTCTGCTTGACCTTGGACTAGTTACATCAGCAGGCAGAGCCCATTTTCAGCACAACTGTTTATTGATAATCTTTGCTTATCCACGGTATGAATGTTACCAACTGTAAGACAGGTACCAAGCCAGCCTGCTCCCTCGGGGTCTGGTCCCAGGTAGTCAAGGCCTGTAGAAATCATGCACTTCAGATACTCTGTAACAAGACAGGTGTAAAAAATCTCGGATGTATTTGAAATCTCTGCCTTATCTTGCAATCTAATCACTGAAAAATCTGTAAAGAAATTGTAGGAGAGCAGGGCTGTGTTCCCTCCTGGGCAGGGTGCAGAGGTGAGCAGTCCCTGGGGCCACCCAGCCCAGCACAGTGTGCAAGGACAGGGGTGAGCACCCTGCTGGCTGGCTGGGCTTCCCAGGTAGCAGGTGATAAACTGTAGGATACCTCAGTACTCCCAAGGAAACCCAGGATGCTGGGAGACTTCAGGAAATGCGTGTTGGGTGCTGGGTGGGTAGGAGTCCTGGAGGGTGGAGGGCTCATTCCTTGGGCTGCAGGATTTAACAAACCCTTGTCCTTTGGAAACCTTTCCTTTGCTGTCAGGTGTGTGTGAGCTGCTTCTCTGTGCTCACCCTGGCTCCAGGAAAGGAGGTCGAGCAGTAGAAGGAAGCCTGACCTCCCTTCTACCCTGGCCTTTGCCTATGGACAATCAGAAGCTCTGCTCTGCATTCCT